CGCGGCGCCGAACAGGCTCGACGAGCCCAAGGACGAGCAGAGTGACGACGTGGGGTGGACCCGCGATAGTCTCAGGGCGAAGCAGTCGGAGGGACTGAGCAGTGGTGGGGATTGGACGCCGGCTGCAGCAGGGCCTTGTGGCTATGGTGGTCGGTGGTCTTGGGGAGTTTTGAAGGCTGCGCCTGGGGGCGGCAGCTAATTGAATTTTTTGTGTACAAGAAGGACTCGCTTTTATCTCCATTGCTGCTTTGTCTATGCATGTCGTGTGTGTGAAGCCCCGAGTGATGGGAGCTGGTTGTGCACATGAGTGATGTCGAAGGTCTATGGATGATAAGGAGTCCTGTCAAGGGTTGTTGATTGCATGCATGTATGTATGTATGTACTCGTCCGAGCGGGGATGGGGAAACTGAACTGGGGGACTGTCTGCTTAGGAGTACGAGTGTGTTGATCCGGTTGTTCCCCTCCCCTCCGCGGCCTTTCCCGCGCTTGCACGCGGTTTCGGCGTAACTCACACACTCTCTCTCTCTCTCTCTCTCTCTCTCTCTCTCTCTCTCCTTCCTTTTTGAACTGATAGTCATCGCTCTTGGAGCTTCTTCTCCCCGTACCGGTCACGTCAACCGCCTGCGTCCGCGCGGACGGTCGACGCCCCCGCAAGGGGAGAAAGCTTAAAGTTCATCATCTTCCCTCGAGGCACCCACTTTTGAGGGAGAAGAATTGCGTCGATTATTGTATGGATTCGGTGTTGGTTCGGATGACCGGGAACGCGGGATCTTGCCCGTGTTCATCGTGTACCTCCGACCGTCTCATCTCGCTACCGACCTTCCCCATCACAGATGCCGAGAGCGTCTACTGCGATGCGGACGTACGGYGCGCGCTGAGGCGGACGGAGCAAGTGTGTTGGCAAGACCCGCATCGGGCGTGTGATATAAGGGGGAATGGATTTGTCCTGATTGATCGTTTTGATTCCCCGACTCTGATATTGCCTTACACGGGTTTAACAGTGTTGCCCTGGTCGGCCGCTCACGCCGCGTGGCGGCCGCAGTTTGATTGTCGCTGGTGTCGCCAGGGGGACTCGTGTTCTTGGTGACGGCTGGTCCTGGGTTACGAGGGAGCGASACGTTTCCCCGAGCTTTCCCGTAGTGCGGGGACGCTGCCCGCGCAATTTCGAATTCGGATGCCGACGAGTCCTCCCGCCTCGTTACCCTCCCGRAAACTTTCACACGGACTCTGTGAGTCCGACGCCGAGGCTTGACGGCCTCGAACCAACCACCTCTACAGCAAAGACCCGAGGGTTCGGCCACTTCGTGAGAACTGAGGATGAGGCCTGAAGGCTTYGAACCCACCACCTATCCCCCAAACCCTTGACGGCCGAAGTTTTTTCTTCCGCCGCCATGCCCCCCCCCCCTTTATGCCTTTTCCCGTCCTATGCACGACGACAGTTCGTTTTTGTGGAAACCTTTTTGATTTTATCGTCTCGGAGTGATCCGACCCCCATGGGACTTCGCCGCGACAGTTCGACTCCGGGGAAAACCTCTGGCAGGAAACGAGGGCCTCCCGTTCCGTCCGGGAGACTCAACCCTTACGGCCAAAAATCCTCGGCCACGCCCCTCCTAAAACTCTGATCGACGACCCCGTACGGGACACCACGAGGGGGCGTGAGGTTGGTATCAGAGTTGATTCATTTCGGCTCCGAGGTTTTCCTAGGACGATTACCCTGTTTTAAGGCTTGTCCTTTTTTTCTTTTTGATATTTTCATTAGATTTTTCGCATTTTGGAGTAGGCTGGCTCCCCGCCGACGGAGGCCCGCGAATAGCAATCAAGACCGAGCGAGAGGCCGGGCTCAAAACCCGCCTCCCGCGATGGTGGAACCCGGAATTGGGGGTGAAAACGGCGGCGACAACCACTCGAGGATGGCCATTCATCCCCTGTACTTTGTACCTCCTCCTTCCGAAGTTTCCATTTTCTCCGAAGACGACACCGACCCTCGCACCTGGCTAGCTGCCTTGAAAGCCCAGGGCTGGTCGGATCAGTTGCTCCGAGAACGAATTCCTGGAAGGTTAGCCGGAACCACGTTTGAGTGGTATGGACATAACCTCTTCACCAATTGGGCATCCTTCTAGAGGAAATTCCTCAATAGGTTTGATCACATCGCACCACGTCAATGCCTCGGAAGGTTGCGGGAGACCTTGGCCAGATATGCTGAACGTTTTACGTACTTAGCCGAACGCTCCGGGGTGGACGAGAAAATGGTACGGACTGATTTCGTTAGAGGACTGTCAGATTCTCGTCTGCGAAAAAAGATCCGCAAGAAATGCAACCCTATAGAACATACCCTGACGGAGCTAATTCAGTACGCAATTAAGTACGGGAAAGAAAATTACGATGTGGGCCTGGACTCAGAATCCGACGAAGATGACCCTTCGGGTGTTCAACGCAATAGCTACTCCGCTACGGCACGAATGTTCAAAGATCGCTTCGGGTTGGGTCCGGCAAAAAAAGGCGTGGATCGGAAAGCGTCTTCCTCTGCTTTGGCCTCCCGTCGCCCTAGTCAAGCACAAGGAGGCCGGGGTGAGGAAGAAGTGTCCATGAAGGAGGTCGCGGCCCAATTAGTTATGGTAGTGGCCCCGTTGACGGAGTCTGTTCAGGGCCTGCAGCGGCAACGCCTAGCCGCCGCACAACGGCAACAAGCGGCTATGGCCGCCGGGGCCCCTATGATAAGACCGGTCGTGGCCGGGGCTGTCCAGTCCCTATGCTGTTATAACTGCAATCAGCTAGGTCACCTTGCGAAAGATTGCCCGAAACCTCGAGCGTAGGGTGGGCTCGCTGGGCCTTCCCAAATCCCGCTGGCTGCTCCAACCGCTGCAGGACAGGGGAGGGTGGCCACGGTGATGGATAACGGGGCAACGGAAATGGTGACCCCTGCGGCTACCGAGATAGGGCCCGATGAATACATGGTTGCGGCTTTGTTCGAACCCGGGATCATCGGAGTGATACGTCACGTCCAACGAATTACCGAGGAAAGCGACCTCGGGCCGTGGCGTCCAGGGTTCGAAGACCTTGCGGCGCCTGGCCCTGAATACAAGGATGGCCATATCGACGTATTGGATGCCTTGAAGGCTCTGGATCTTTGGATCCTCGTCCCTATTCCCTATCTGCTAACCATTTCCGAAGCGGCTAACGAAAAGTTGATCGAACGGTGCCTCAAAAACAGGCGCCGATTCGAGGAAAGTCGAAAGGGCAAAAAGCCGGTCCTACGGGACCTACCCACAAACGAGGAGTCGCAGCCCTCGACCTCAAAGGTGCTCGAAGCTGACCGGATAGGAATGATCCAGACCGTAGACTCTGCCTCGGAAAAACCCGAGGTATTCCTCCGAGCCTATCCTATAACCTGGAAAAGCGTTGAGTGAGACTGCGAGGTCTGGGGAAACCCCTCGGCCGCCATCCTAGACTCGGGATCGTCAACGGTCGCCATTTCTTGGAGATTGACGAAACAGTTGGGAAGGGAAGGACAGGTTCAACCCCTCCGACCGGATGAGCTGTATATATCCGCTACGGAAGAGAGTATTCATTGTAAAGGGCGAATAATGAACGTGCCTATACGGGTGGGGCGGGTGCATTGTTTGTGTGACGTGATCATGCTAGATGTATAGGCGTATGATGTTCTGCTAGGCATTCCGTGGCAGGCGGCGGTCGGAGTGTGAATGCACTTTGACAGCGGTAAGGTGGTGCTCACATCGGCCCACCCCAAACCCCAAATGATACCAATGAGACTGGCGGTGCGCATGCGTACCCAACCGGCGCCTCGCCTCACCACGAAAACCCATCAAATCAACATGATCCGACGCCTGTCACCAGACGACAATGAACCCTCAACGGAAACTGACAAGACTGATGTACCCGACCGATATCCGATCCGAGTTCAGGATCGGTGGCGCCATTCTTGGCGGCGAGAACCACTGGAAATAGTTCGGAGCGAGTCCAATTGGTCGCACGCGTTCTTCTCCGTGGTGCAGGGGGAACCCCTGTTGAGGGTGTCCCGAATAGCTGACCTTTTGGAACCCCCTGCATCCTTGTATCTCAGGACGGACCCCCTACCTGAAAGATTTACCGAGCTGAGGGGGCTGTGCGATTTATCTTTTCGACCCCCATGGCCCCTACTCACGAATGAAAAAGTCGCGATACTCCTGAAAGAGGGGGTGTCGTTTCAACCCCGAACAAGGGAATATCGGTGGGGACCGAGGGAACAGGCGCAAGCCTTTTCGGTCGAATCCTCAGCCGAACCCGAACTGGATAGTGACAGTGACATGGAAAGCGAGCCGATGAGTCCGGCGGACAGTCAACTCATTGCGACTGTCCTTTCGGCGAAAACCGACAACTCCTTGTTTGGGGCCTCGCCCGATGCCAGCGTGGCGGTCCCCACGGTTACGATGACGGTCTCCCTTCCTGGGGGAACCGTGGAAGTTCAGTTACCAACCCGTGTTCCGGATGAATACAGAAGCCTCCTCCTGGCGGTTATACAGGCCTATCCTGAGGCCGTCAGTATTCAGGACCACGACATAGGGCTAACCCCTTAAATACAACATGCGATTGATATCGGGGATCACGTCCCGATACATTGTCGACCGTACCGATATTCCCTTAAAGAAAGACGGCTTTGGAAAGGGTACGAGAATTCGAGCGGTTGGGGTGGGTCGAACCATCGCCGGGACCATGGTCTTTTCCCGTGGTCCTCGTGCCAAAACGAAATGGTTCGGTCCGGGTATGTATCGACTACCGGAAATTGAACGCCATTACTACCAAAGATGTGTATCCCTTGCCGCGAATCGATGATTTGTTAGATGTTATCGGGGCCGCTCGAGTCTTTTCCAAGTTCGATATCCGACACGGTTTTCACCACGTCGCAGTCCGACTGGAGGACAGACCCAAAACCGCTTTTGTCCTATTTGAGGGCATGTGGCAATGGGTCCGGTGTCCCATGGGAATTTGTAACGCCCCTGCAACGTTTCAGCGGGCCATGAATATGGCCTTCGCTGAGTTCGTTAACAAAACCCGACTAACCCAGCCCCTGATTAATTTCTGCGTGATTGTGTACATGGATGATATTTTGGTCTTTTCAAAAACACATGAGTACCACGTGGAACACATTGAGTGGGTTTTGCATGCACTGAAAGATGCGGGGTTCAAAGTGGCCTTGGAGAAAAGCGAGTTCTTCTTGTCGGAGATCTCATTCTTGGGGTACATCGTCACGGTCGATGGACTAAAACCGGATCCGAGGAAGGTGGCAGCAGTTCAAGACGCCCCGGCGCCGGTCACACTCACCCAAGCTCGGGCTTTTCTAGGGCTGGCATCCTATTCCCGACGCTTCATCAAGGGGTTCGCCGACTTAGCGAAGCCCCTCACGAACCTGCTGAAGAAAGAGGAACAGCTGATCTGGATGTCGGAATGCGAAGCGGCATTTCAGGCATTGAAGGAGGCTCCGACATCTGCTCCTGTGTTGGCGTGCCCCGACCCGACAAGACCGTTCGCACTGTACACAGACTGGCAGCCTCAGGCGATATCGGCGGTGCTGACTCAGCACAGCAAGGACAGAAGGGAGCACGTCATTGAGTATGCGTCCAAGACGCTGAGCCAGGCGCAGGCTAATTACGAAGCATGCAAAGGCGAATGCCTGGCGGTGGTGTGGGGGATTCAGCACTTCCGACCGTATCTGTACGGCCAGAAATTTGTGCTGGTAATGAATCATCAGCCGCTGCTATCCCTACGCAACAACACGGACTACACGGGGACGCTGGGCAGGTGGGCGGTGCGTCTGCAAGACTATGACTTCGACTTCCGCCACCGTGTCACGCGGCAGCATGGTAACGCCGATGGATTAACGCGCCTTCTGCCGCCCAACAAGTGTCCCACCAACGAGCGACTCATTCCGTGGAGGCCAGAAGTCGCGGCGACGAAACTGCACTACGGGGAGCTACATGTGCTGCGTAAGGACGACGCCTGAGTCCGGAATGGAGGTTTCATCAGAGACGGCCGACGCTGTCTCTCTGCCCTCATCCAACTCCCTCGCTCTCTCGTCTAGCCCCAACTCGTCCTCTGAAACACATCTAAGTCCCTGTTTCTTCTGTACCTTGCCTATGATCCCAGACCAAGAAGGGTCACATCCGGGAGGGCCCAGTTTTCTTTTATGGGTACAGTGTAGTCAGTGTCATATGGTCAAATCTCACGGACAGTGCGTTAGGTACCGAAGTGAAAAGACGTGGGTCTGTCCCAACTGTAGAACGGACCAAGTCCCTACCGAGAAGCGGTATCTGGACGCTATAACAGCCGACGGATTTGCGCCAAGTGCCCGCTGGGCAGAAGCCTGGATGGACCTCCTGTTGCTACGGAGACTGTCAGGCGACTCGCTATCAGAACTCACCAAAGTCGAACGGCGGAGAGTCACGGAGCGGGCGCAGGACTATCGCTGGCAGGGCCCGACGTTACAAAAACGGAAGGTCGATAACGACGGAGAGTCTAGCTGGTTGACGGTTTCACACCCTCTTGCTAGGTTCGATTGGACACGAGCCGCTCATGAGGAGGATGCGGTCCATTTCGCGGTCAAGTACACGGAAAAAGCCATTGAAAAAAATGGATGGTACTGGTCGGGAATTCGGGAAGATGTGAAATACATCGTTCAGAATTGCCCGGCCTGCTCAGCGGACAAGGCGCCGGTACAGATGCCTCGGACGATGGTGCCCACTCGTGTAGAGCGCCCCTTTTAGAGGGTTAGCATCGATATGACGAATATCAACGTTCCGAGAGGGCCCGTCGATCAGGGAGAACTCAATGTTATTTTAGTGGTCGTTGATCATTTTTCAAAATGGATCGAGGCGTACCCTATGACCAGCCAGAATTCGCAGGAAGTAGCCTGGCACGTAAATCGATTTTTGTGCATGCATCTAGACGTAGAAGAGGTACACATGGACAATGGGTCGGAATTTCAAGGCGAAGTCGAACGTCACCTAGTCAGGGCGGACGTTAAGATTATCTACTCGTCGGGGCATTGGCCTCAAGCCAATGGCCTGGTAGAGAATGCCAACCGACTGATTAAGACGGCCCTTAGACGGAATATCACTGCGGGAGACACCGGACCCTGGCCGGTCATTGTCGACCACATTTTGGCCGTTTATCGGGCTACCCCACACGGTAGTACTGGGGTGTCCCCCTTTCAATTGAGAACCAATAGTGTCCCTTGGGTGCAATTGTCCCCCTTGGTAGGTACGAACGTTAGAGCAACACAGGCCCAGAATCGAGACAAGGCCCGCCACTACATGGACTTAATGGCTAGGGCCTATCCCCCGTTAGCTCGCCGTCGACAGCAGGCCGTAGATCGGACACATCAACGGCAGATCCGTGACTACGAGAATCGACACGCGTCGGCGGGACCACTGCCCCGCTATAAAGTTGGGGACTTGGTGCAGGTACGGAAATCTGCGCGCTCCTCCAAGATCCACCCGCGCTGTACAGGCATTTACGAGGTCACGGAAGTTGGCGCACAGGGACAGCACTCCGTGAAGCTGATTCCCCGTCACAACTCCCAGGCCCGACCGCTGACACGGCACGCGGCCGCGCTCCGGCCTTTCCAGCCATCGCTAGGTCCCCTACGGACCCCTGCTCTTGCGAGATCACCCTCTCCTTCTTCATCCTCATCCTCCTCTTCTTCCCGATCTGCCTCGTCCATTGGTGCTGAGAGTTTTAGGGAGCAGGATGAACCATCACCAGCCAGAGCATGAGCCCCTCGAGCATTTCCAGACGCCGCTTGCAGATCGCCTGTTGCGGCATCGGTTCAATGAGGAGAGGCAGTTGCGGTACGACATTCAGCAGATGAACGTGCCGGTGCCCGGGTTTGCGGATTTGACGGTGTACTCATTGCTTTATGATCATCTGACGTATGCGGGGGTGTACGTGGACGTGGCGCAGTTGCCTGGCCGGGAGACGACCCGAGCATTCATTGAGTTCCGTCCAGGTGGCACCCAATTTCGTGCACAGCGTCGCCACCTTCATCGGAGACTTGACGATCCTACCGCAGCCGAATCGGGAGCCGACCCGCAGCTTTGTGCGCGAGTACGCGGTGGAAGCGGCCAGATCAGTGGCCAGATTGCAAGGACGGGGGGGACACCGATTCACAACCCACGAGGTGCTGCTGCGTAGGGCAGAGGACGGAGCGATTGCGTTGGTGCCGCAGCTCCCCGCGCTTCTCCCTCCCGCTGCTCTTCTCAACTTCCAAGCTATTCCCCCTGTCCCGTACTAAATGCCTCCCTTCTTCTCCTACACCACCCTCCCCTACCAGCTCACGGGGGGCCCTTATCCCATGCGCGAGTTCTCAGAGCACTTAGTGGAGCTAACTGACGTGGAGCCGCTGCCTTTCACCGATGAAGACGCGTGGGAGTTGCACCGGGCGCTGTACAAGTCGGTGACGTTGGGGATGTTCCAGTTCTTCGTGGAGCACGAAGACCACTGCATCGGGGAGCACTTCGTCGTCTACTACGTCATCACGCGGCCCAAGCCAGCGGAGAAGGAAGGGACGGTCGCGTTGTACCCATTCGCCCAGCTCCAGACGATCGATCCGGGATTGTTGGAGCTCATACACCTTGAGCTCCTCTTCATTGCGCAGGTGATCTCGAGCGAGGAGGATGAGATCCAACCGCGATTGCGGACGGCGACGGCCCCACGGAGAACGTACAACGCGGTCGTCATCCCGGAGTACATTGCGCAGCGCACGGAGAGATTGGAGGACTTCCCGGAGGAAAGGCCGTTGCGTCCTCCCTCGTCGTATCCCCGACCGGCGGCACCGAAGGCCCCCAAGAAGACGCCACCCATCGCCAGGGGCGCAAGGCAGCAGGATCGGCGGCGGCGAGGAGGTGATTCAGTCCGCACGTCCGCGGAATCCGGACCCCGTGCCTGGGAGTGCGGCGACGCTTGTTAAGGAGGCTGTCGTGCCATCGCCGCCCGTTCCGCGTGTGCCTGATCTCAACCTTGATGGAGCCGGGCCATCATCAGCAGCAGCAGCCGGAGGAGGAAGCCGAATGGGATTACCGGATCCCATATCCAGACCCCCCGTCCTTGCGGGACCTCTCCGTTCCCGCCAGCCACCCCGGGGTGCCCCGGTCACTGACATTAGTAGTTCATCCGAGCCGGACGGTCCATCCGACCGAGGTGGACTTCATGGTGGAGCCCGCCACCATCAGGCTCGAGGCCATCGTGGGGGCGCCGCGCCCTGATCCAGCGTGGGAGCCATATCTGACACCCCCTTTTCAAGGGTGTATTGCGGCGCGATTGGCTGGGACACTCATCTACGAGACCGGGCAGCGTCCCAATGTGATGTACCACTTCCTGGTCTTCGCGGCGCAGAAGCGGGAGCGGCGGCCTTACACCGAGACTCATGTGGTGATGACGGGTCCGGGGCCCCAATCGGTGCGCAAGCCGGTGGTGCGAGCAGTGGCGGATTTGGCGCCACGTGTCCTATCCCATGTGCCGGGAGCCTTCCTCTACCCCTTGTTCGTCCAGCATCACTTCCATGAGGAGGGAGCGCCGGCGATTCCCGCGACAATGGCCGCTTTTCTTCCACCTATTCCGCCCCCTCTCAATCCCGACATAGATCACTCCCTCTAATCACCCTCGTCTACCTCTCCCCTGTTCTCTCCTTCTCCTTCTCTTCATCTTCTTCTTCTTCTCCTATCTCCAAAGTTCGCGCG